CACAGTCCAGTGATTGTCCTACAGAGCCACTGCATTCTCCAACCTGTCCTATCAGGCAGTCAGGAGTTCAAATCACCTCAATGGCAATAGAAGAGGCTAAGGATGAGATCAAACCATAGGTCTGCTGTGACCAAGCAGCTTTGATTTGGGGAATTGAGGGAGAGGGGCTGCTCCTGTGGCAAGTCTGTCTACTGTCCTCCAAATCCAGAAATGGAAAGGAAAAAGAGAGCGATTCTTTTCCTTTGAGCCCCACTGGACTGGCTGGTAAATAAGTCTTGCTCTTCTGACTTTATCCACTACACTGAAGCGTTTTGTTGTCTTCTCCTTATAGTGAAGCTCTTGTATCACTCAGGAAAGTGACCCCTGGGGATTTCCCACTTCTTCCAAACTTCACCTTTACCCTTTGTCTTCTCTTTGATTCGTTGAGTTACCATGGTGACTCACTTGAGTTTTTCCCATTGGTTATATGCAAATACCCAAATCTCTGCTTGCCAACAGCCATCATGTTTGACATAGTTCATGGTATATTGTTGTTAAGTGCCGTCTAGTCAGTTCCAACTCATGGCGACCCTGGATAGGACACATTATAGAAGCTGAATGAATGTTGGCTCTTAAAGGAACTCTGGTAGCGTAGTGGTTACGAGTTGGGCTGCCACCCTCAAGGTCAGTGGTTGGAAACTACCAGCGGTTCCGCGGGAGAAAGATGAGGCGTTCTGCGCCTGTAAAGATTTACAGCCTCGGAACTGACTCCACAGTACTTAACAACAACAACAACAACAACCCAAGTAATTGTGGAGTCCTGATGTTGCCCCGTAGGATAAGCACTCAACTGCAAGGTCGGTTTGAACTGCAAGGTTGGCAGTTCGAACTTACCCAGCCACTCTCAGAAACCCTATACAGGGTCACTATAACTTGGAACTGACTCGATGGCGATGGCACTTAACAAGAACTATAACCCAACTAATTAGTTCTCACATTCAGTTAGTGGCAAAAAATCTTTTTGTCTAAATAAGGTCTTGAATTTCCAATCCTTGGTTAGACCACCCAATGAATGAAAAGCATGGAAGATCTGAAGGAGATTTAGATAAGTTTGTTATGGATAGTAAAGGAACTTCATTATTTACTCATATAACTTACTTTTGTAACTCAAGAATCTATTCATCACTCAATAGTATTTACTGAGCTCATACTATGGATCAGACTGGGATGTGCTGGTTTTCTAATGGAAAAAAATGTGGTTCTCACTGACTTTAAAGATCACTTGTATGTGAGGTGTAGTGATTGACCATTCAGCAAATTCACTGAGGGAAGATTGTTGTTGTTAAGTGCCATTGAGTCGGTTCTGACCCATAGTGGCCCTGTATACAGTTTCCTAGGAGTGGCTGGTGAGCTTGAGCCGCCGACCTTGTGGTTCAAATCAACATTGCAGTCAAGCTCATTAACCCACAGTGCCACACCATTAGGAGGACACATTGTTATGGGAAATTTTCTGTTCAGGTCCAGTAAAGATATTGATTGTCTGGATAGGTAAACACAGAACTGGCCACTGACAGATCTTGGCTTCACTTCCCTAATGACACAAGAATTCTCTCAACATGGATGTGTTGAGGTGGGCGCAGGGTCAGTGTGAGCAACTGAGGTCTCCAAAGGAACCTGATTCTTGATTTTGGCTCTAGTCTCTACACGGTCCTGAGACAAAAAGCAAACTTGACTGTATTGAGTTCTGCTCATTTCCTCCTCCTTCCCCATCTCAAAAACTAGATGAAGGGGAAAGGACCACCAGTCTGTACACGGCCTGCCAGGGGGCTTGGACTCTCAGACATGGCTGAGTTAAGGGGTCTTTCTTGGCTAGTAGCAGTTTGTAGGCCAAGGAGCCCAGGAAGCCTCTACAGGAATGCTGGATACATATAAACTCTGTTGACATGTATAAGTCAACATATATTGTTGACATATATGAGTCAACAATTCAACCTTTATCAAAGAAGAAAGAGTTAGCAGCCTGGGAAGTTTAGATCCTGTTATTTCGTTATTCTTGGACACGGTGAAGGAGAGAACTGGGACCATGGGGACAGGAGATCAAGTCCACCATCCAGTCCCCGAGAGTCTTTTGGTGTGCCCACCCGCCAGTCAGGGGTCTGCCCACTTTTCTGGGAGTCTTGTGAGAATCACAGTGCTTGGCATTTACAACATACTGCTCTGTCAATTTCCAAGTCTCATTTTATGTAATGCTCAGTGCCCAAACAGCTTAGGGAAGCAGTTAAGTGCAGTTGAGTGGGATCCGACGCATAGTGACCCAGACAACCTTGTGGTTCAAGCTAACCTTGTGAATGAGTGCTTATCCAGGACCCTTGTAGGTATGTAGCTATTATCAGCCTCATTTTATGGATGAGGCTGCTGAGAACAGAGAGGCTCATAACTGGCCCAGGGTAACGCAGGGCGGGCAGTAAGAGGTGTCAACAGGCCAAATTCCAGGGGTTCTAAAACAAGTTCTGCCCCCTCTTCTAAGGTGTACTCATGAGACCTGAGAAATGATGCTCTGAAGAAGTAGATGGTTCAATACAAAACAGAAGGCAGTATCCAAGTCTCATTTCCATTACCATAAAGACAGTTCCAACTCCTAATTGTTGTTGTTAGGTGCAATTGAATCCTTACCGACTCAGAGCGACCCTATGCACAACAGAACAAAACACTGCCCAGTCCTGGGCCAACCTCACAATCGTTGCTCCGTTTGAGCCCATTGATGCCGCCACTTTGCCAGTCCATCTTTGGGGGGGTCTTCCTCTTTTTCTGTGACCCTCCACCTTACCAAACATGGTATCCTTCTCCAGTGACTGGTCCCTCCTCCTGATAATATGTCTGAAGCATGAGAGACAAAGTCTGGTTATCCTGGCTTCCAAGGAGCACTCTGGCTGTACTTCTTCCAACACAAATTGGTTTGTTCTTTTGGCAGTCCGTGGTACTTTGAATATTTTCCTCCAACACCATAACTCAAATGCATCAGTTCTTCTATG